CCCCTGCAAGGGCACGAGGCGCCGTGTGGTGCAGAACTGTCCCGGGTTTCAATCCCAGCTCTGCCCTCAGCTGGCTGTGTGGTGTCGGGCAAGCCCAACAGACTGAGTTCCTCCTGGAAGGGGGGTGATCCCCGCGGTCACCCCACATCGAGGGTGCCTGGTGGGTGGAGGTAGACGTTGCATGCAGGTGTCGGGATTTGAGGGGACTCAGTGTGCAAGGCACCCGCCAGCTTCCTCAGACTCAGAGAGACCGGCAGAGCCTCCAGCCTCGGAGGGAGCCCAGCACGCGGGGCAGGGGAGGGAGAACCTGATGAACCGGGAGCTGAGGACAGCCGAGTGCTGGAGGACACCGGCTGGGCAGCCGGCAGAGTGTCCCTGCAGGTGCAGTCTCCGGGTCCTGCATGTCCCAGGGACGGATGAGCCAGGGAGCTGGTGCACACGCGCTGCCCTGTGCTCACTGATGTGTGTGTGCACAGTCCACGCGCTTCTCCACGTTAGGCCCGGGTGAAAGCGGCACTGCCCATTAGTGAGTCTCAGTCAGCCTGAGCCTGCCTTGCTGCCTCTGAGCCAGCACACGCCACGCTCGCTGGTCGATCAGCCCCTGACTCTAATGCACAGCACAGGGAGCCCTGCCTGCTCCAGTGCTAAGGAGGAAGCCAACAGTGGTCCTTCCTGGAAGTCCTGCCTCCCCACACCCCCCAAGGTGTATGTGCACAGGTCGTGGGGGTCCCTGACTCTTTGAACATGCTCCAGAGTGGGGAGAGGGCCCCATATTCCTAGTGGGGAGCTTGAGCACTGGGGTGCAGGTCCCCATGTCACACAGCAATTTATCTCTTGGGGACCTCAAGAGCAGCCCCTGAATAATGAGAAAACCTCACCAAACCTTGGGTGTCCGAGTAAGGGCCATCCTGCCCTGCCTATGTCCCTGTAAGTGTCCCCCATGTGACCTGCGTCTGGGAGGGGAGGAGCATGACCCCTGAGCAGAGCTTTCTCCAAGAGCCCTCCTCCTCCTCTGTTTCAGCTCACCACACAGCCAGCTGAGAGCAGGTAGGTCCAGCCTGTCTTCCTGGGTCTCTTGGGGGAGGCGTTGAGCAGGCCAGAGCCCAGCGTCCAGGTGCTCCTTATTAGAGTGCGTACAGCGGGGGTGCAGACTCATGACCAAGTGAGGGTGGCCTGGGGGCAGGACCAGGCTGGTCACCTGGCCCAGGGGGGTGGGGCAACAGAGGGTCTGCCCAGCCAGGTCATCCTCCGAGCCAATACTGCACCTGCAGTGACAAACTCCCATGTTGGGGACAAGAAGTGTGCTAAAGACCCCTGGACAGAGACCACTGTCCTCCCGGCTCCCAACATGCCCCTGCCCTTTGACCAAATGCTCAGGACCCCACACTCTTCCTCGCCCCATCTGTGTCTCCTGGTTTCCCCAGAACCGTGTACATGGTGATGTACCACCAGAGGGATTGCCGGGTCTCCGCACGGTCAGCGGGACGCCTTGCCTGAGTGTGAGCCTGGGACACTGGGAGAACGTCCCAGGGGCAGCGACACCTTTTCTGAGTCAGAAAGTCACTAACTGA